TGCCGCCCCGGCTAGGGAAGCCACCCACGGGGTCCTGCTGGCTTCAGAGGGCTGACTGACAGGTGTCAAGCGATGACGGACAGACGGCTGCGGGGAAAGCCGCTCCCAGCTGTCCTTTCACTGGAGGTTGTTTGCGGCAGTGAGAGATGAACCGCTAAGGAAGTAGCTCTTCAGCAGTCGGGCCACAAGGCCAAGATGGCCTCAGTGATGGAGAGTCACCACTTGCTACTGCCTTAGCAGGCAGGAGGGTGCGACAACGCTCCAGGGCCTCGTCCGACCTCTGTACCTCCTGCTTTTGCCCGCAGCCTCCTCTTTATCAGGGCCAGTGGCCTCCAGTTCCTCCTCGGATGCAAACCTCAACAGGTTTCATGAGTGAATCCACAGTAAGATAAACAGAAATTAATATAACAATTGGATGGAAAATTTAACTTTCAAAGTTTCACGTACAGGTGAGCAACAAGGGCAAAATTACACATTTTCAAGTTACTGCCGTTCTTTTAACATAAATGTATCATAAACTGAGTTGGCAGGACGAGTCCAACTGTTAGTAGATAAGTATACAACACAGAACTTACTTAGCTGTCTTGTTTAGCAGTTTCCACAAGGATCAAAAGGGAATTAAACAGCATCTTCCATCTAAGCATTATTAAAGATTCCTTCCACTCAGACCTGAGATACATTTTCACATTCTCAGGAAACGATGCCCTGACAGAGCAGGACTTCAGCTTACATGGCTGTTAATTTAATCCCCAGGAACATTTCGATATTCATTCAACAAAGAACATACTGAGGGAAATCAAGGCTTAAATAAATAATAATAAAACTTTATAAATATTTTCTGAACCATTTTTGTCTGTCCACATGCAAAGTTCTTCTACAGGGACCAAAATTACTATCGATAAACATTTTTTTTTAAATTAAAATTGCATTGAAATTTACACAGGACTGGAACAAGTATCGCATATCACTGAGATGAAACCTTTGTTTATTGCAGGCAATACTATGACACCAAGTATTTCATAAATGTTTCAGCTACAATGGAGAAGGCCAGATTTTCCATTCCTGAATTTCTTTCTCAAATAAACCTTCTTCTAACGTTTCAAGTATTCATAGGCAGTTTATACCCACTTATCCCTAACCCAGTATTACCTTATGGACTACATCGCTCTAGTACCCTAGCGCTTACTCTCTGGGTATATATTTGAAGCAAGGAATTATGTACCCCCAGACTTAATTTTATTAGACTAAGCACAAGCTCTTTCCGTTCCTCTTGTGAAACTGGCACTCCATCCTCTTGATTAGCCTCTCACTCTTTGCCCACCATGTGTTGGGCTCAACCATGGAAATCAACTTTTTCTCAGTGAATGTGACTAAGCATAACACTGCAGGTGGACTTCTGCTGTCCCTCCTCCAGTGGCTTTACAACCTTTCCATTCCTAATGAAAGTTCTTTGCCTTATCATGCAGGCTAGAAGGCACTCTGTAGTTTTATGCAGGGGAAATTATATGTTAAAAGGGCTTTCAGTTCTCTTTCTCCACATTTCATAAAAATACTCTGTGCATTTGTTACCATATGAGACAAAAAAAAAATTGAAAACAATGCGAAATGTCTACCGTATTGCAGATTAATTCTTAGAAACTCAAGACCTATTGGGAAGAAATATATATGTGATCTAGTTTCAAATTAAGTCCCTGCTGTTGAATGTGTCTAATTCAGAGCAACAAAAATCAGACTATCTGTGTTTGCTGTTACTTGTGCCCTGTTAAGAGCGTACAAGATCTTATCAGAACTCACAGAGATTAAATCAGAATAAAGGCTACTACTGTTTTCCACAAGGTAAACATATTATTTGGGAGAACAAATAGAAATAAAAAGTACAAAAAAGGAAGAACGACTGAAGTGTAAAGGACATAAAAGAAGAAAAAAACCCAGGCATCTTAATGCACAGCTTTAAAATAAATTAGAAAAAGCAGCCAACACTACCATCTACTGGGCAAGATAAGGACAAAGAGTTCATTGCAGTAAAGGCAATTGTTGCTGCATTTTGACAAGTCACTTCAGGAATCAACCGCATCTTGAACCCACAACAAAGCGATTGCGGAGTAGCTCTGAAGAAACATGCAAAATTTCTATTATTCCAAACAAAAGTAAATTGAGTAAACACTCTTCATGCCTGTGAAGTAACTAAACTTAAAGTAGCAGAATTATACAGCAGTCTGTCAAGAGGACCAAAACCTGGGGCTCCAGGGATACAAACCAAAGAACTACTCTCATATCTCTGGTTAGCAAACAGTTATCACCATTCTTGATTTTAATCATCGTTAATCACAGCGATTTCAGTGGGACTGCTAAGGTAAATCAGAGCCTTTCTGGCATCTTACAGCTCCTCCTCTCTTTAGAGCAAAGGAATTGCATATAGACATTGTATTGTCCAACCACATCCTGCTACATGCCAAACTACTTTTCCACATATTATTTAAGTTGAATAAGTTAGTAAATGCCAGAACTTGTCCATTCAACCATTCTCCTCTTCTGTGTGTGCGTGATACAGTCTTTACATGCACGATCACATACTATTTTTTCCACACAACCCCTGCCCCAGGCAGAGGCTGGAGAGCATTCAGAAAATGAGGCAGCTGTTGGGTATTTTTATACTCTTTCTTCAAGCGGTAAAGCCGGTCTTATTTACTCTACATGGTTTGAAAGCAGAATGACTGTTTATTTTCTTTTAAAAAAAAACCCACTGAAGTAACAAAGAGCATGTATCTAAAAAAGCTTTAGGCACTCTAGCAATTACTGTTACAATGCAGTGCAAAGTAATTCCTGAAACAAAACCTCTGTTCTCAGACACTTACAAAAGAAAATAAAAATATCTCTTCCTAGCTCTTCAATCCTTCTGAGTACTCTGCTCCCAGCTTATTTCAAAGCACTCGCTAAGCACATGGCCCCTGATGCTTGCCTGGCCACAAAATTTTGACTCTTTCAGGGATGCAGAAGGTTAGGGGATCGTGCCCCTGCACCTGGCTATTCCCCTTGTTTGACAATGAGAAGGGATCCTGCCTGCACGCTCCTGCTTTCACAAGTACGGCAGAAGACAACTTGAGTGGGATCCCAGGCTATTTAGGGCTCCCTAAATCATAATCAGCAGAGATTAAA